AGGTTCAACACTACTGCAGGTGCTACCTCACTTGTTACTCAGACAGTAAGGAAATACCTGAAAATCAGTACTGATGTTGCCAGGAAGATGAAACAAAGAGAGGGTGTGTATCTGGTTTGCAGCTCAGCACTGCAAGGGCCTCACTGGCTGTTTGTCCCACCTTGCTTTTGGCAGCAGGAGCATGCCAGTGCTTTGTTCCCATCCCTAGTGTGCGCAGTTTTGGTTCTCGCTCCTTGTCTTAGCTCCCAAAGCATTGCAAAGATCCCCTGAGCTTTTGCCTGGGCTCTGGCCACATCCTGATTTCCCCCTTTGCTCACCATGTGCTTCCTCAGCTGCCCATGGATGATGGCTGCTTCCCATCAGGTGGTGCAGAAATCAGCTTCCCCATCCTCTCCTTGCTCTCTTGCCGTCAATACAGTCAAATCCAAATAGAAATGGACAAGGAGAAAAAAAAAATGTGATTGCTACCCAGCTCAATGCATGACCAGATACATACTTCTAAATCAATATTTTAGTATATCTTTCTCCCCCCCTCCTCCAATTCCAACATAACAAACATAACAAATTCCTAAAGAATCTGTAATTAACTTCCAAACACTGCTCAAAGTCATGTATCCACAGGCATGCCACCCATGATTACCTCAGTAGATGGATGTTGTTCTGCCTACCATAATGCAGCTGTAGCCACCTACCTGACAGACCTGACACAGCAGAGGTGGCCACACCACCTCGCTTTATTAGAAAATGACAGATTTTGTTCCCAGACCTGGCAAGCCCCTTGTCCTTCCCCTGGCTCTCGAAAACATTGAGATGGCTGGCTATCCTCTGAACTTGCTTTGAAATGAGTGCTGTACTGTCAGGTTGTTATGAGACTTTTCTTAAAATATCAGGGATTAAGAAAAATTAAGCCTGCAATTAACACTGAACCATTTAGGAACTGAGATTTCTGGAACTAAGATTTCCAGCACAAGGCATACAAAAATGACTGGAGTTATAACCCTAACAGGCTATCTGCTACAGGCTTGGGTTTTTTTCCAAGAAAATTTCCAAAGTGGTTCCCATAGAAAGAACTTTAATGGAATGTTGTTAAACATGTATCCTCCTCATCACCTCTGTTTAGCTAAATGCAAAGGAAACAACAGAGTAATAAAGTATTTCCCAGTATTTTGACACTTTCAAGACCATTCTGGAGTCTGCTTACCTTTAGCACGCAGTTTTAGGTTGGAAACTATCCTTCCCCCCATTCCTTATTTTGCAACACCCTGTCATATTCATAAAGCAGAAAATGGGCAAACCCCAAAATATTCTCCTGAATATTGTAGGACAAATTACACAGGTTCTTTTACACAAAGTAAAAAGACTCCAGCACACAAAAGCCAAATTATATCTTGTATTTTCCCCAAATGGATTGTACCAGTTAGGTGGCTGGTTAGATCCAGCCAGGATCTCTCTGAAAATGAGAAGTCTTGGCATCTGTCTGATCCTGGACAGATCTCAAGCGGTATGCCTTTCAGCATTTCTTTGACAATGAAACTTCAATCAAAAATATTCCAGTCTGGTCAAGATATTCAGATCGAAGATGAGCTTACACTCCAGTATTAGAAGATATGTAAGAAGAGGTTTCTTTAATGAGTCATCTCAAATAAATGACTGGGTATGTTTATAAGTGAAAAATCACAGCCAAAAATTGGCAAGAGCAAGGCTGGAAAGAAACACAGTTTACACATGCGACCTTCTATGCATCCACATGGCTAGAAGAGCTAACATGTCTGACAGTAATGGGAGAAAATTTAGAAAT